CAGAATACTGCCCTTGTCACATTCAAGCTAAAACTTGGATCCTGGCACTCGACCGCTGTCTCAACGGAGATTAGAGATGACGTCCCTCAGTCACGGCTCCTCACCAACCGTCTCCCCATTCGCTCCACAACATCAAACTTTTTAGTTGAGGAGAATAGGCTGGCCATAAGCACGGTCCTCATCCCATCCCGACCACGGCCGGACTTTCACCCGTCTATCTGACAGATCATACAAGGCATGTTCAGCCCGGAGATCCTCCTTAATCTGTTCCATGCATTTCTCCGCCTGGTCCCTCGCAGCCTGCGTGATTTTTCCCTCTTTGACGTGCTTCAACAAAACCTTCAACAGCTTGTAGGCGGCAACTCGGCGCGAGAGGGAGAGAAATGGGCGCCGTGTGATATGGCGTTCTCTAGGGGCGTGGAGTTGAACAGGGTGGCTTTGATCATCAGCGATGCTCCAGAGCGGACGAGGGTCTCGATGATTTCCTGTATACTTCTTGTGGGGTACTCATAATGGCGATTCTCTAGGGTATCCATCCACTCCGGGTCTTCTGCTCTGTAATCAGATGCGGGGGGTATAAGACAGTGCAGCGGGGACGACCAATTCTGAGTCTCTTGTGTGGGAGGCAGCCCCTGAGTGTCGCAGCCTAGACGCAAAAGCTGTTGGGCCGTTTCATAGTTTCCCCATTTGAGTACAGTAACGAGGGGTGACTGCCCTGCACTCCTGGACTCAGCGGGGTATGGGCCGAGGCTGGCCCCTCCTTCGTGAACAAGCACCTCAATGATCCTGTTCAGGAAGTCCCGAAGTATGAAGTCGAGACCCAGATTACTGTCACTCAGGGTCGCTTCAAGAACTATTTGACCGTCGTGGGGGTTAACCATATTGACCAGGTTGCAAACGCTTGGGTACTCCAGCATGGCGGACAGGAACTCGATGTCCTTCCTGAAAAAGGCCGTTTTTATCGCGGTTTGAAGGATTAGGGGCCTGTCAACATTCTTCGACTCTTCCAAAGCCGCTCGCCCGAACTGGTCTATGATAAACTGTGCGATGAGGGAATGACCTTTGCATAAGGCCAGGTGTAATGTCGAGCATTTGTGCTCCAACTCTTCGCTGGTAGTGTCACATTCACACATGTTGACGGCAGCTTGGTCGGGCGTGTTGATCACTGCGCCCTCTTGAATCAGCCACACCACGGAGGGGCCGCGGCCCTTCTGGACCGCATGCTGGAGCATCGTTCCCAAGCCATAATTCAACCACATATGATGGTAGATGTCTTTGCCGTGAAAACCCTTGACTCGAGCATTGATGTCTGCTCCATAAGCTTTAGCTTGAGCCATCACAGGCACCGATTCGTTGGTGATACCCCACATGAGAGCCTCGTTTGGGTAGCAATGCGGGTAGTTTTCATGCTTTGCGGTGCGGTATAATTCTGGCTCGTATATTGACCTCAGCCTATTCGAAGACCTAGACAATACGGCAAGTGTGTCCAGCCGACCGTCGTCCTTTAGGAAACGCGAAATCATCAGGTGAATTTCGGGAGGCAGGTTCGGACAACCCTGTGCGGTGGGGCGAATGATTGGGCTCATGTTCTGTGGTTATCGGATGAATAGATGAGGTATATCTGGATAGAAATGTCGTTGCGGTAGACGTGGTGAGTTATTGGTGGAAGTGCAAATCGCGAATCGGTAGTAAATTTTGGTATGGTTATATAGGAGGAAGGCGAACGAAAAGTAGCTGGAGAAATAAACAGAATTTGGTTGAATGGTGAATGGCAGATACCTGCGGTATTGCGTTAGCAATGGAGAACTGGTTCGAGCTTCCAGCTGGCCTCAGCTGCCAGCCATTTTATATCAACGCCTCCAAACCACTTGACACTCACCCATTAAGCGCTAACCAACCAAACTTTGAAGCCTAAGCCTTCCCGAATTTTCCCACCTTTCGTTTTTCTTCTCATTTTTTGAGGCGCCGGAAGGATCGTCACACGGACATTTGCCCAGAGTTCTGGGTTAGATGTTCCGCGG